AAAAGGCATTACTAAGAACTCATAATGCCCATAGCGAGTCCTGAAAGCTGTCTTTGGAATATCATCTTCCCTAATCTTCAACTGATGATACCCGGATCTCAAGTCAATTTTTGAGTAGTACCGTGATCCTCCCAGCTGATCGAACAATTCATCGATCCTCGGCAATGGGTACTTGTTCTTCACGGTAACCCTATTCAATTGTCGGTAGTCTATGCACAACCGAAAGGATCCATCGTGCTTTTTCGCAAACAAGACAGGTGTACCCCACGGGGAAGTGTTGTTCCTAATGAATCCCTTTTCTGCCAACTCTCCGAGCTGTTTCCTTAGCTCTTTCATCTCCGCAGACGCCATTCGATACGGAGCAATAGAAATCGGAGCCGTTTCCGGAAGTAAGTCGATGCAGAACTCGATCTCCCGGTCAGGCGGTAAACCAGGCAACTCATCAGGGAATACATCCGCATATTCATCGACCACGGGGACCTCAACATTCTCCTCGACGATCCCAGATTCACCCTCTAATGCCGAAAGGAATGAGAAACAAGCTAAATTTTGCCGTCCTCCGACACTATGCCTTAGTAGTTGTTCTTCTGTAACTGGGTTGACACCTCCCTGATACGTTATTGTCGTGTCAGAACCGGTAGTCAAGGTAACTCTCATACGGTGGCAATCAACAATCGCCCCATATCTTAACAACCAATCCATTCCAAGCACTACATCAAACTGATTCATGGGAAGGATTATCAAATCTGCCTTTAATTTCTCACTTTCAATCGTGATCACACACGACCTACATACACTAGTCACCTCCACACGTCCCAATGGAGAACTTATAAACATTGAAGTCTCTAAGTCATCGGGTTTCAAACCTAAAATTTTCACAAAAGTAGTGTAAACAAAAGAGTTCGTAGCACCAGTATCGAACAAAACTCGTGCAAAAGAGTGAGAGATAGGTATCATACCCTCAACGACTGGGTTTTCGGCATGAGCTTCAGAACTTCTCCCGGCCATGGTATGCATCTGGCCCGGTACTTTCCCTTTTCCTTTCTCATTGTTGTTAGGTCTCTGGTTCCCAGGCCTATACTGTTGCTGCGGTGCGGTAGACTGTACTGATACGGAAGCCAGTGGTCAGAAATAAGAGTAGTTCGACGGGCAGAAGATCGGTGCAAGAGGAATTGGCATCTGTGCAGGCAACTGGGGCTGATAGAAAAGCGTGAACTGTGGAAGTCTGTCTTGACTAGGAGCAATACCCCTTTGATTCTGCGATGATTGCTGGGCCTGTTGATTCACCTGTTGGCCCCTGATAGGATAGTTCCTTTTGATATGCTTTAGCTCCCCACAATGGCGGCACTTGAAGCTATAAGGTCCACTCTTCCCACTTCCCGAAGAGCCACTGCTACCACTAGGCACTCCCCCACTACCTTGCCCTTGATCACGGCTTTTTCTGTTACTCCTTTGGGGTCCTCCTGAGGTTCTTCCTGAAGCTTCTCGATCCTGGAGGAAGGCAACATGCTCTTGTTCAACAGAGATGGCTGCTGCAACAAAGTCACTATAGACTCGATGCCTTAAAGCTACAACTGATTTTCGGATCACACCCTTAAGACCTTTCTCAAACTTTAGGCACTTCATGCAATCCGATTCAATCAAGGAATGTGGAAAACGAGACAGTTCATTGAACCTAGCTTCGTATTCCCTCACTGTCATATCCCCTTGTTGTAGGCCCATGAATTCCATGGCCTTTTCATCTCGATAACTTTGGGGAAAGAATTGCTCATTAAAGAGCGCTTCGAATTGTTCCCAAGTCATTCCCTCTACATCATGCATTCACCGGATATGCTTCCACCACGCACCTGCAGGACATTCAAACTTAAAAGCTGTGAACTCCACCCAATACTTATCCGGTACTCCCATAGTACTTAGATGCTTAGACACCAATTCGAACAAATACTCGGCTTCCTGGGGTCCACCTGCGCTAGTGAATGCAGGAATTGAACTACTCCTGTACTCATGGAAGTAGTTCTATTTTCTGTCCTCCGCGGGACGTTCATTTTGGGTTCTAGTAGCCATCCCCTGGAAGGCGGTGTACATGGCTTCCATGAATTGCTCATTTGGCATCGCCGGTGGGTTGGGTTTCTACGGCGCGGCGGCATTCTTTTATCTGAAAAGAAAGCTAGACTGTTTTAGTGGTTTCTTGATGTCATTCATGTAAGCATAATTTCAAACTCTAAGGTTCTAACCCAATGGCTCTGATACCAAGTCTTGTCATTCATGTATGCATATAACAGAAGCATGTACCTCAAACACATAGTTTGAATCTTCTTAATCTTTGAAACAATTTTTTAACTCGATTTCTGATCCACCAGGGCCTGCAACATTTAGCAATAGATCAAAAGTGTGAAAAGGAGGGACTAGTGAGAAAGTGAAAAATAAGGGCAAAAGAAAAAAAGACAAAAACATGGGAAATTAAATGATATTCACCTCTTCAACTTTGACAGGAGGAGTGTCAGATGAAAAAGATTCTGAACCAGAAACAAGTAATGATCTCATTGTAACTACATTACCTTCTTCAAAAACATGGAGATTCATTAGTGTCTCAATCACAATTGTACAATTTTTCACCACCAAATCAAACCCACTCACAAAACTTAATGATAGCAAGCCTGAGCAATGCAAAAGCATCCACTTGGTGGTCTTATGCCTGATTCGATGAGTTTTCATTAGGCAAAATAATTTCTTCTGACTCGGTAAGATACATTAAACAGCCGGAAACAACTAATAACATCCACGATAAAATCATACTCCTTACAGGACGAAGCATCTTCTAAGGCTTCTAAACAACTATAGTCTTTGACATTCCTTAGACACCAAAAGACTATTGACATCGAACTGCTGATTAACTTTAGCATAGCAGCAATAAGACAAATATCTTGAGAACTTGTTCCCCCCTTTCGAGATACTACAGTATCGCTTATATTGTCCAAAAAGGCTCCAAGTAGTATGTTGTTTAAAATTTACGAGATATCATTTTTGCATGACTCATCAAAACCTTGTTGGCTCTCGTTTATGTATGCAGTGGATTCGGCCAGAAGGTCAGGTTTTTCTTTAGAAAACGTATTGGACAGATGTGACCTCCAAAAGAATCTGATTTACCAACTACATCGCATACCGTCGCATTGGTAACTTCATGAATGTGATGTTTAAAAGAAGATTCATACCTTCTGCCAAATGAACCATGATTTGCGTAAGAATCTTTACTACCTATGGGATGACCATCCATAAGCAGAGTGGACATGTATCTAGTGTACAAGATGACGGACCTTTCAAATGCAGTTAGGTAACAAGCCATAAGTCTGACGGAGGGTCTAATATTTGAAGACATGCTAACACCAATTGCTTCAGAAACCAACAAAATCAAATGTGTATGGAACATTTTTGGTGCTGAAAGAATAATGGGGTTCAAAAGTAGTGATACAGCCGCATTCAGGCTAGGATCAGGAACTCTAAAACGCTTGCAATCTCCGCAACTTAATCAATTAAGGAAATGCTCAAATCCTTGCTCATCAGAAAACGATATAATGAAATGAAGAGAAATAACCTCCAGCACACTTGCAATACCATCATTAAGAAAATGACCCCTGAAAGCGCTCTACTTGTGCAAGAAGCATAATCAACGAGCATGAAATACTCTCTCAACAATCTATGCATCAAAAGCTCATCTGCAAATACCTAACAAATATATTCCCAAATCAAGTTTCACAGATGAGTTGAAGTTTAATTGAACTTATCTAATATGAAGTTATAGGAAGGAAGAAAGATTATTCTTATATCCCATTACCTCAGGATCTTTCAGAGGTAATTCTTAACTCCTTTGATTCTGCGAAACTGTGGAAGTTTGTCTTGACTAGGAGTAATACCCCTTTGATTCTGCGGTAATTGCTGGGCCTGTTGATTCAAATGTTGGCCCCTGATAGGACAGTTCCTTTTGATATGCCCTAGCTCCCCACAATGGTGGCACTTGAAGCTATAAGGTCCACTCTTCCCACTTCCCGAAGAGCCACTGCTACCACTAGGCACTCCCCTACTACCTTGCCCTTGATCACGGCTTTTTCTGTTACTCCTTTGGGGTCCTCCTGAGGTTCTTCCTTAAGCTTCTCGATCCTAGAGGAAGGTAATATGCTCTTGTTCAACAGAGATGGCTGCTGTAACCAATTCACTGTAGACTCGATGCCTTAAAGCTACAACTGATTTTTGGATCACACCCTTAAGACCTTTCTCAAACATTAGGCACTTCATACACTCTGATTCAATCAAGGAAGGAGCAAAACGAGACAGTTCATTGAACCTAGTTTCGTATTCCCTCACTGTCATATCCCCTTATTGTAGGCCCATGAATTCCATGGCCTTTCATCTCGATAACTTTGGGGAAAGAATTGCTCATTAAAGCGTGCTTCGAATTGTTCCCAAGTCATTCCCTCTACATCATGCATTCACCGGATATGCTTCCACCACGCACCTGCAGGACCTTCAAACTTAAAAGCTGCGAACTCCACCCAATACTTATCCGGTACTCCCATGGTACTTAGATGCTTATACACCAATTCAAACCAATACTCGGCTTCCTGGGGTCCACCTGTGCTAGTGAATGCAGGAATCGAACTACGCCTGTACTCACGGAAGTAGTTCTGTTTTCTGTCCTCCGCGGGACGTTCATTTTGGGCTCTAGTAGCCATCCCCTGGAAGGCGGCGTACATGGCTTCCATGAATTGCTGATTCGGCATCGCCGGTGGGTTAGGGTTTCTACGGCGCGACGGCATTCTTTTATCTGAAAAGAAAGCTAGACTGTTTTAGTGGTTTCTTGATGTCATTCATGTATGCATAATTCCAAACCCTAAGGTTCTAAACCAAGGGCTCTGATACCAAGTCTTGTCATTCATGTATGCATATAACAGAAGCATGTACCTCAAACACATATTTTGAATCTTCTTAATCTTTGAAACAATTTTTTAACTCGATTTCTGTTTCACCAGGGCCTGCAACATTTAGCAATAGATCAAAAGTGTGAAAATGAGGGACTAGTGAAAAAGTGAAAAATAAGGGCAAAAGAAAAAAAGACAAAAACAAGGGAAATTAAATGATATTCACCTCTTCAACTTTGACAGGAAGAGTGTTGGATGAAAAAGATTCTGAACCAGAAACATGTAATGATCTCATTGTAACTACATTACCCTCTTCAAAAACATAGAGATTCATCAGTGTCTCAATCACAATTGCACAATTTTTCACCAACAAATCAAACCCACTCACAAAACTTAATGATAACAAGCCTGAGAAATGCAAAAGCATCCACTTGGTGGTCTTATGCCTGATTCGATGAGTTTTCATTAGGCAAAATAATTTCTTCTGACTCGGTAAGATACATTAAACTGCCGAAAACAGCTAATAACATCCACGATAAAATCATACTCCTCGCATGACGAAGCATCTTCTAAGGCTTCCAAACAACTATAGTCTTTGGCATTCCTTAGACACCAAAAGACTATTGACATCGAACTGCTGATTAACTTTAGCATAGCAGCAATAAGACAAATATCTTGAGAACTTGTTCCCCCCTTTCGAGATAATACAGTATCACTTATATTGTCCAAAAAGGCTCCAAGTAGTATGCTGTTCAAAATTGACGAGATATCATTTTTGCATGACTCATCAAAACCTTGTTGGCTCTCATTTATGTATGCAGTGGATTCGGCCAGAAGGTCAGGTTTTTCTTTAGAAAACATATTGGACAGATGTGACCTCCATAAAGAATCTGATTTACAAACTACATCACATACCTTCACATTGGTAACTTCATGAATGTGATGTTTAAAAGAAGATTCATACCTTCTGCCAAATGAACCATGCTTTGCGCAAGAATCTTTACTCCCTATGGGATGACCATCCATAAGCAGAGTGGACATGTATCTAGTGTACAAGATGACGGACCTTTCAAATGTAGTTAGGTAACTAGCCATAAGTCTGACGGAGGGTCTAATATTTGAAGACATGCTAACACCAATTGCTTCAAAAACCAACAAAATCAAATGTGTCTGGAACATTTTTGGTGCTGAAAGAATAATAGGGTTCAAAAGCAGTGATACAGCCGCATTCAGGCTAAGATCAGGAACTCTAAAATGCTTGCAATCTCCGCAACTTAATCTATTAAGGAAATGCTCAAATCCTTGCTCATCAGAAAATGATATAATGAAATGAAGAGAAATAACCTCCAGCACACTTGCAATACCATCATTAAGAAAATGACCCCTGAAAAGCGCTCTGCTTGTGCAAGAAGCATAATCAACGAGCATGAAATACTCTCTCAACAATCTATGCATCAAAAGCTCATATGCAAATACCTAACAAATATATTCCCAAATCAAGTTTCACAGATGAGTTGAAGTTTAATTGAACTTATCTAATATGAAGTTACAGGAAGGAAGAAAGATTATTCTTATATCCCATTGCCTCAGGATCTTTCAGAGGTAATTCTTAACTCCTTTGATTCTGCGGAATTGTGGAAGTCTGTCTTGACTAGGAGCAATACCCCTTTGATTCTGCGGTAATTACTGGGCCTGTTGATTCACCTGTTGGCCCTGATAGGACAGTTCCTTTTGATATGCCCTAGCTCCCCACAATGGTGGCACTTGAAGCTATAAGGTCCCCTCTTTCCCCTTCCCGAAGACCCACTGCTACCACTAGGCACTCCCCCACTACCTTGCCCTTGATCACGGCTTTTTCTGTTACTCCTTTAGGGTCCTCCTGAGGTTCTTCTTGAAGCTTCTCGATCCTGGAGGAAGGCAATATGCTCTTGTTCAACAGAGATGGCTGCTGCAACCAAGTCACTGTAGACTCGATGCCTTAAAGCTACAACTGATTTCTGGATCACACCCTTAAGACCTTTCTCAAACTTTAGGCACTTCATGCACTCCGATTCAATCAAGGAATGAGGAAAACGAGACAGTTCATTGAACCTAGCTTCGTATTCCCTCACTGTCATATCCCCTTGTTGTAGGCCCATGAATTTCATGGCCTTTTCATCTAGATAACTTTGGGGAAAGAACTGCTCATTAAAGAGCACTTAGAATTGTTGCCAAGTCATTCCCTCTACATCATGCATTCACCGGATATGTTTCCACCACGCACCTGCAGGACCTTCAAACATAAAAGCTGCGAACTCCACCCAATACTCATCCGGTACTCCCCTGGTACTTAGATGCTTAGACCCCATTCAAACCAATACTCGGCTTCCTGGGGTCCACCCGCGCTAGTGAATGCAGGAATTGAACTACGCCTGTACTCACAGAAGTAGTTCTGTTTTCTGTCCTCCGCGAGACGTTCATTTTGGGCTCTAGTAGCCATCCCCTGGAAGGCGGCGTACATGGCTTCCATGAATTGCTCATTCGGCATCGCCGGTGGGTTAAGGTTTCTACGGCGCGGCGGCATTCTTTTATCTGAAAAGAAAGCTATACTGTTTTAATGGTTTCTTGATGTCATTCATCTATACATAATTTCAAACCCTAAGGTTCTAAACCAAGGGCTCTGATACCAAGTCTTGTCACGCCCCCAAACCGGAATTTGTGACGTGGAGGCTCGTTTAGAAACTTAAACCTGTTTGAGAGAGTGATTCGTAAACATTTTAATTTCTTTCAAATCCAAAACATCCAGGTATTTTCAAACAAGCCCCTTTTTCAAGAAAGGAATTCAATTTCAAGAACGGTGGTAGAATTTCCAACCAAACCAGTTTAAAACCACGTCCCTGGTATCAAGTCCGGAATTCCCATAGGTGTTTAGCATACATGAATATAAATAAAAGTAAATGTGACATCAACCACAGTCTAGTAATATTTAAGTTTACAATCCATAATCTTTTATACATGCCTTGAAATAAAAGATAAGAGGAAAGACAACTCTTCACTTTTCGATGTCAAGTCCACGTCACCGGTAGTAGCTACCTACT